GGAAACTACGAAGGTGGTAGGTTGAACTGGCCTGTGGTCTGCAGCTCCCTTCTGCACCATGGGTGGGTGTGATCCCTCGTGGTGGGTGCCACGACACGGGGGTGTAGTTGAAACTGCAAGTGTTTGCAGCCTCTCTTTTCTGAGCCTCGCTTTCCCGAGCCACTCTGCTGCCGACCGACCCTAAGAAAAACAACCCGGTAGACTAAATGCAAAATTGCCAGGTGCGAAAGCCTTTTCTTTCTTTTTCGTGTGGTGATGGTGTTGGCACGTTCTGAGGGTGCCAATTGAGTGCTTGTGGCTGTAATTGAACGTAGTTGAAGGCTTTGGGACTCCTTTAGTTGCTAGTTGAGTGGTTCTGGCGGTGCTATGGGACTGACTATGGCGCTGCAGGCGGTTATTGAACATGGCTAAGGCGGCCAATATGACACTTAGTACCCCACCCCTGTGTCTGGGGACATGTGGATGAGTCCCATAGCAGTGCCATAGTCAGTCCTGTGGCGCTTAGGAGGTGTCGTAGTCAGTCCCATAGCTGTGCCATAGTCAGTCCCATGATAGCGCTTACAGTGCCATGGTCAGTCCCATAGCGCTTACAGTACCAGAGTCAGTCACATCATGTGGTGTCGTAGTCGGTCCGGTCAACATGATGCCATAGTCAGTCCTATAGCGCTTATGGTCCCATAGTCAGTCCCATCAATACGGTGCCATAGTCAGTCCTCCAGCGCAGGCTGTGCCATGGTACGGGACTGACCATGGGTGCGTGGATGAGCGCATATGGAGCCATAGTCGGTCCCACAGCGTGTATGGTGCCATAGTCAGTCCCATAGCACGTATGGTGCCATAGTCAGTCCCATAGCACGTATGGTGCCATAGTCGGTCCCACAGCGTGTATGGTCCCATAGTCGGTTCCATCAATCCACTGCCATAGTCAGTCCCATAGGGCATACGGTGCCATAGTCAGTCCCATGGTCTGATCTGCCAGCTCACGTTTGGTAGGCAAGATGCCCGCCCGAGGGACCAATGGATATCCATCTTGTTTTCTGTTCTCTCTGTCCTGGGCTGCTCGTGGCTGCCTCTGTTGCCCGTAGGATTTGTTGTAAGTAGTTATTTGATGAGCATTTGCCAAGCTAGGTACATAAGGCGTCGATGGGTATGCAGCAGCCTGCTCTGTTGTCGGTGTTGTGGGCAAATTTTTTTGCTTGTAGGATCTTCTGTCATGAGTAATTTGATGAATTTAGTGGGTGAACTGCTCTTGCTGGAGACTTCGGGTCATATGAGGAGGGGGGCAAAAAAGGAAATAGACAAAGGAGGGTGGCAAACAAGGAAATAGAAAAGGAGGGTGGCAAAAAAAGGAAATAGAAAAAGGAGGGTGGCCTGGGATTTGGGTCCAGTTTTCCATAGAGTAGCGAGGCAAATGGCAGCTAACCAGCCAGGCTCTCATTCTGGAGATGGATTGGACACTGGGCCTGGTTTCCAGTTCCAAGCCTAAGCTGGCTGATGGCCCCAGATTTTCCGGGTTGTGTGTGAGGATCCGCGGCCTCTTCCATTTCTCATTAACACTGAGTTTCTGATTTTCCGGAAAAAAGAAGAAGAAGAAGAAGAAGGGGAAGCTAACTGGTCACGCAAGCAGCATGGACAGACATGGCAGCAAGGCAAAGCGCAGTGAGGCAAAGGGTGGCGAGGAAATAAGCAGCATGGAAAGACAAAGCGGCATCAAAGCACAGCAAGGGAAGAAAAGGCGAGCAAAGCAAAGGGCAGTGAGGCAGCACAGCGAGAAAAAAAATGTCAAATAAGTGACACTGGAAGAAAAGCATGCAGTCAGGAATACCCAAGGAAGGAAAGCAAACATGCACCCCCCCCCAAAAATAAAAAAATAAAAAGGAAAGAATGAAGGACAAGAAAAGTACGAGTACCAAACCGAAAAGATAGAGAGCGAAATAAACAAACACGGATGGTACAGACTGTCTTGGCAGCCTTGCACGGACTCATCTTTCCTTCTTCTTCTTCTGCTTCTTCTTTTTTTTTTTTTTTTTTTTTTTGAAGGTCTAATGCTCCAGTGTATTCGTGGGGAGCAGCACGTGTTGGGAACCGGTCCCAGCGTCCCATAGGAGGCTGAATCCTCAACAATCTGCAGAATCCCCATATTGATGCGTTGAGTCATGGACTTTTTTAACTCCTGTTGGAAGTGGACGGTCTACAGGCACCACCACAAGTGGAACATGGCAGCAAGGCAACGACTCGGCGAAGCACCGGGCAACACTAACGGGGCAGCCCGACTTCACATCAGAAAAGCTAACTGCATGGAAAGACGGCGGAAGTGGGCATGCAGAGAGGGGCAACAACACAGCGAAGCACAAGGCAGCGCTGACAAACAAGCAAAACAACACCACAGACAAGCAAAGTGATTTGGAAGACAAGGCACACAGATGAGCAGCAAGGCAACAATGCAGCGAGGCACAAAGCAACACTCACAAAGAAACCAAGCTACACTGCAAACAAACAAGCGGCAGGGAAAGGCATGGCAAGCAGGAAGGGCAGCAAGGCAGCAGAGAAGCACAGACTATGCAGTCCACACATCCAACATGGACCCCAGCTAAAAGGGCCTTTACGATTCAGACCCCTAAATGTGACCCCAACATAAAAGGGGCCCTTTCGGCCAGAACTCAATTTCACGAGTAGCATTCCAAAGGACAAGTTCCCTGAAGCAAATGTCGCATCCAGAGTGAAATGAAAAGTCATTTTGAATACAATGGCTGCGTGCCCAGCTCAGTGGGCGTACTATTCTTTCGCCTTTTACTAAAAAGAAAAAAAAGAGAAAAAAAAGAAAAGTCGTTTTGAAAAGTCACAGTCAGGTCCTAGACGAACAGGTACTGGGCTCAATTTTAAGGCTGAGACAGGGTCATGTCTGTTCGGCAATAAGTCGAAGGTCACAGTCCCAGATGAGTCCCAAGGGTCAAATCTGATTCAGACCAGGAGTCCGAAAGACAGGCCCGTCGGCCAAAGCAGCAGCAGACCATGGGAAAGGATACTGGGACACACACTTTGCAACAACAGGTACTGGGTTAGAGTCCCAGACACTTGGAGGCTGGATGCAACCCACGCCAGACTAGTCCGGCACTATAAAGGACTGGCCAGCCTCCCATTTGGACAGATACTCGTTCGCATGAGAGTGTGGAAGTGCTGAGGCACTTGTGCGCCAGATGTGATTGAGCTGCGAGAACTACCCTTGAACAAAGAGGTTTAGCCTTACCATGGTGTAAGTTCTGTACATCAACCTTCCCATCAAGAGAAATTCCAGAAACCATAGAACACATTTTTCTCTAGTGTCCCAGTGCGGTATGGTTATGGAGATGGAGATGGTGGGACAGGATTTGGAGTCAACTAACATCTTCATGTCCTTGGCCATGGGATTGGAAAGTCCTTCTATGTGAAACATGGAACCCCCCTCTGTTGGATGACTTCACTCAAAATCTTTATCAAATTGGGAGAAGAGCAATCTTATGGGCTCTCTGGCACAGACGATGTACGAATGAGATGGATGGAGTTAGGCTGGAAGGCCCTGAATTCACAGATTCAATAAAGCAACAGATTCAAACAGAGATATTGACTCAATGGGATAAAGTCAAAGAAAAGATTCAACATCTTTTGACCCAATCAGAAATTGACCGTCACATTCAACAATTCAACAGCGACTGGCTGGGGGGTACCAAGGAAGGAAAGATGGGAGTGATAAAGTGGAAGGAAGTGAAAAGAGCGAAGGCGAAGAGGGGGCAACCAGAATCCAGAAGGATCTATCAATTACATTTTCTTGACTGGACTAATGTGGATCCTGCGATCCCGCTAAGACCATTATCAGACTTCCCTGATCCATTTCCACTATCATCTTTGTGCTTGTTTCCTTTGAGTTGGTATGGTGTGGATTAGCTAGGTTTTTCTTGAGTGCTAATGTAGAAAGATAATATCTGGCACCCCTAGAAGGGGGTTTTCTTGAACCTAGGAATAGTTTCTGGTGCTAGGGTAGAAAGACCATATCTGGCGCCCCTAGAAGGGGGGTGAAGAGGTACCAACTTTTTCCTATTTATTCTGTTAAAGGGACGCTGGACCCGGTTTCCAGCAGGTGCAGCTCCCCACCAATAGAATGGASCCATACTAGGAGCCTATCATCAGGGGATGCTCGTATCACCTCTGATGGCAGGCGCCAGTTKTTTTAAAAAAAAAAAAAAAAAAAAAAAAAAAAGGCTTGAGAGCTGCGCTGAAGTAAAAGAGAGTTGGGCGCTGGCTAGGAGAAAGGCAGCCATAGCTGCGCCAGTGCCAGTTAGCAGTAGTAGCAGGGATAGTTAGTAGAGAAGATCAGTGAGAGGTATTCAGAGTAGATTCTCGTGTGATAGGGAGTGTGCATGCATGATGAGTGTGAGTAGACCAGGACTACTATAGTCAGAAAGAAAGGGAAGAGAGAGACCAGGAGAGAAGAGAGAGAAGTGGGTTATGGTGAGATTACCTATGGAGCGCTGTTCTTGATGGTTGGCTGCTGGCGCTGATGAGTGCCAGGCGTCGTACTCTTGTTGGACGAAGAAGACTTGTAATTCTGCTGGGCGCTATACATTTTGAACTCGTGAATCTCTTTCTTTAATCTGGTTATATTAATTGGGTTACGCTTCCTGGTTTCCACCCACCTTTCATTGAACTTTGTGTGAGACATTGGAAATCTGTGAAATCTGTGTTTCATGCATGTTATTCGTTACACTCCAGCAAGTGACGAACGGACAGGTTCCTTGCACAGCAATCCATCACGTACTCGCACCAAAAGTCAAACCCCTGTGGACCGTTGGTTCCCACCACCCTCTGAGCCAGGAAGCCACTACGCCAAACGTCTTTCATCACCCCTGGAAAATGAGCATCCCCGAACGGAATGGCCCCCCTAATAGTGTTGCAGGCACTCCGAACAAGCAGCCACCAACTATTTGGCACTTCTTAAAAGTGCTCACTTAGATGACCAGAAAGAACTAAGAAAATGTGTGTGTGTGTATGAGTGGAGGGGGGCGTGGGGAAGGGGAGACAGTTTGCTTACTCGGGATCTGTTTGTTGCAAGGGGAATCGATGGTGCAGATTGAAGTTTGGATGCAGACATTCGCTCCAGGCAGTGGGACTCCCATCCATCGTCATGAATGTGAAGAGGTGTTTATCGTCACGAAGGGATCAGGAACCCTGCGGCTGGCGCAGTCCCCCAGTGATGGAGAGACACCTGGCGATGTCCAGGCATACGCGTTTCACAAAAATGACACATTTGTCGTGCCTGTGGATGCTGTCCATCAGGTGAGTGAGTGATTGATTGGGAAAAAAGAAACAACCAAAAGGAAGATTTCTCTCAATAGATGTGAATTGGTGAGAATCAACTTAGACTTTCCATGGTAAGACCGAGACCATCGGGTTTTATATAATGACCCTTCTTACAAGATTTCTCTCAATAGATGTGAAT